GGTGCATACAGAATTGTAGAATCATAGAATGGATTGTGTTGGAAGGGACCTTAAAAGACCACCCAGCCCAACCCCGTGCCATGGGCAGGGACACCTTCCACCGTCCCAGGTTGCTCCAAGCCCCATCCACCCTGGCCTTGGACACTTTCAGGGATGGGGCAGCCACAGCTTCTCTGGGCAACCTGTACCAGGGCCTCATCACTCTCACAGCCAAGAAAATCTTGTCCTACCCTGCCCTCTGGCACTTTGAAACCATTTCCCACATATAAAAGGTACAAGAATTGTGCTTCCTGACTTTGGTCTCAGGAACCTGAATAGACTGAAAGTCTAATGAAGGTTGTACTTATAAGACCTATAGATTTCCATATGTGCATTTTGGTTACCTTTTCTGAGTCACAAATGTCTGGCACGGACTAGGAAAACATCAGCTACGAGGCAGGAGAGCTTTCTGAAGGATCAGCAAAGCTCAAAGTAGCAAAATGGCTGTTTCCTCAAACCTAAAGGTTTTGTTTTGAAACACGTGGTTATCATTAAAAAATAAACACGGAGCACTCACAGGTTCAAAGGTGGGATGGTACCTTGTGTGAAGACAATGGGATTGATGTTGAAAACAGTGCTACCACTGGAGTTTGGTTGGATCCACATGAATGAGCCCCCCAGGGGTTCACCCAGCATTTTGGGCCAGAGCTGAGTTCACTCACTGCAGTGCTAGTGCTGCTCAAAGCGAGCTGATTTGAAGCACTGGGTGCATTACATGAGTTGCAATTCCAGCTCATTTGCAGTGCAGTCATGCCAAGAGTTACCTGCACTGTTCAGGGCTGTGTCTTCTGCGGTGTGCTAGTTACAATGATGTGCTGCAGACATAAACTCACAGGGGTGTTCCAGCTTTGGGTATCACCAACATAGCACACCACTAAGTCAGAACTGAGATGTTCCTAGCATTCCTCTTGCCCAATGTCAAGTCCCTCCACTGAGCAGTAGGAACAAGGATTTTTTTAAGGACAAAATTTCAACATTGGAAAATATTTTAGGAGAGACCTGGGGCATTTTCACTGAAGAAAGAGGAAAGAACATGACTGAGAGCACACTGAAAAATTAACTGTCTCGAAAGGTGAACCCTATTTTAAGGTTGCCTAATATTTCCAAAATTTCAATATAGGAAAATTGAAGTAAAGTGCAATTGGCATGAAAGAAGCAATACTGATACTATTTTAGAGCCTGACTTTGTGCATGCAATAGCCTCCGGCACGATACAAAGGGCACAAAAATGTAAAAATAAAATAAATACTAGATGAGAAATTTATGACTCAGATGATTAATGAGGGGTGACAGAAGTATCTTTCTTTTTAAAGATGTATTAAGACAGCAACCAAATCTCATTAGCTGAGATAACTGGGACAGTGGGTAGTGGTGGGAGAGAGAGCTTTCTCCACAGTGGTGTATCTGAGTGGCTGAGCAGAGATTTCAAAAAATAGCCAGTGCTGTCAACCTGCTACCTTTCCCATGCAATAAATATGCTGCAGGTCCATAGCCCTGATTTGTGGAGCTAGGTGCAAGAGGCACTGGGTGAAATGTACAGTCAGCACTGTAAAACAGGCCAGACCATTGGTCTCTTCTGCCCTTAAAACTCATAAATCATAGATCATAGCACAGCAATGAACACTTCCCTGGTAAAAAACGGAGTCCAGAATTGTAGAATGATAGAATGATTTGGATTGGAGGAGACCTTAATGATCATCTCATTCCAACCTATGCCGTGGGCAGGGACACTTTCCTCTAGACCAGGTTGCTCCAAGCCCCATCCAACCTGGCCTAGAACACTTCCAGGGGCATCCAGAGCTTCTCTGGGCAACCTGTGCCAGGGCCTCACCACCCTCACTGGGAAGAATTTATTCCTAATTTCTAATCTAAATCTACCATCCTTCAGTGTAAAGCCATTCTGCCTTGTCGTGTCCCTCCATGTCCTTGTCCAAAGTCCCTCTCCAGATCTCTTGGAGCCCCTTTAGGCACTGGAAGAGGCTCTAAGGTCTCCCCTCAGTTTCTCCAAGCTGAACAACCCCAATTCTCTCAACCCGTTTCCACAGCAGAGGGGCTTCAGGCCTCTGAGCATCAAAGACAAAGGCAGTTGTGAGCCACATGAGACCTGTGAGGCTCTTTGGGAGCTCATTGTGGAAGGTTATCTCCTTCCACAGTGCTTTGCCACAAGGAAGGTCACTTGCAGCACACCCAGGAGCTCCTGCCTGCTCTCCTGGTACTGGTGGTGGGTGCACATCAAAGGGGCTGTAGCTACCTCTGCTGTCACAGAGCAGAGAGGTCAGAGCCTGGAAAAAGGAGGGGTGCTGCAAGTGTGATTTTCAGATGCCTAAATCCAGAATCGTGATGCTGATTCAGCTGTTATGCAGCCCCCCAGGAGCTACATTTCAAGGGCACCTCAGGTTTTTATGGTTAATTCTTCCAGATGCCCGATTTTTTTTCTCACTCCCAATAAATTTCCAGAAATCAGCAATGACTTTGGTTTTCTCCCATGAGATGCTTGAGCCAATAGGTTTTCTCAAATTACCTCCAAAGCCAGGGTTTTTGACTTTTGCCATTTTTTACCACACCAGAAGGGAGACCCTTCACTCAAACAACAGAACTCATGCACAAAGGGGATATCCATACCCACTCTTTTCCCCTCCATGAGGGTGTCAATTCCCTGTTTCTGGCCTCTCAGGAAACTGCTGTAACCACTAGTCTGTGCAGTGGTGTAGGAAAGAATTCAAGATTCATAGTCAGACAGAGCGAGGTTGGTTCAATTCACTTCCAGCACTGTACGAGAGGAGCTGGATCTGCTGTCAAGGGTAGAAAAAATTGGAGTTTTAAGAGAAAACCACTAAGAATGGCCAAGCAGGAGTGGAAGATTTAGGCAGATATTGTGTTACTGTTCATACAAACAGTATAGTCAGTCTTGGAAAGCAACAGGTTAGTGTTGGATCTCATCACTATTCAAATCACAGTAAGTGGTATTTTGTCTCCTAAAACAGATTTGATTTTTTAAAACCATAGGAAAACACAGAAAGTCACCAAATCAAAGACCCTGTTTAAAGTAAAGATGATTAAAATGCAATATTTGCTATTTAAATTTGTCTGTGACAGTAAGCTGATATCTATCTTTTTTCTCTAAATGTAGTATTTTGTTTCCTCTTGAAGTCCAAAGATGGCTTTCTTGTTCAAATAACTATTTATTTGTACAATAAACCAAGTCACAATGTCAGCACTAAGCATCTCTCAAAATTCTTTTTTAATGAATGGCTGCTGTTTTCATAAATCTTTCCCCAGCCCTGAGCAGATCCAAGAAGCCATTGGGAATTTTTTCTTTAATATTCACAGGTCTTGAATCAAATGCCTCTGAAAAAAAGGGTTTCTGAATGAACTAAGGTATTTAAAAAGTGTAGTTTCTTCTGGATTTGCGTCCTGTTTTCCTTCCACCCCATTGGAATGACCTCAGCTCTCGGAGTTCTATGTGTCCCCCAGGTGCTGTGGAGGGAATGCAATCCCTATTTACATCCCCAATTCCTGTCCTTCTGAGCACTCTCTAATCCTTCCTCTGAGTCCCAATTAGGATGAAGCAGCACTTATGGCTCTTAGAAATTCATGTGCTGATTAGTGACCAGTAATTTCATGGATAAAGGCCAGAGTGTGGCTAGAACTGAACAGGAAAGCTGATTTCATGAAAAACACTGGAATTTAATATCTTTGAGACCTCTGCCCTTCTGCCAAAGTTGATCTGTGGGTTTAGAGGTTATTGAAAGAGAATGTCAGGTAGCTGGGCAGGCACAAAGTATGATCACACAAGTCCCGTTTTCTCTGCTAAACATCACAAATAACTTTTGAAAGAGAAAATTCCGTGTACCTGGATTAATCTTATCTCCAGCAGTGATTTAGGAGCAATATACAGAAATAACATGCAGCACAAGTTATGTGCTGGTGATGCACATCTAGAAACTTTTCCAGCATTATTAACTTCTAAACTTCTGATTTTGATAGCATCCTCCTCCACACAGCAGCAAATTCAAGTCAGCTAAAGAGATAAGCAGCTTATCTATTTTAAAGTTGCCTTTTTTTTTCCTCTTTCTTGCAGGTACTTCATCAGTTCAAAAGCTTAAGGAAAAAGGACATTCCTAGGAGAGATTCATTTCGTGAGAGAAAGAAAGAGCAAAATGCAAACACAGCTGATCCTCAATGAATTGAATCTTCCCCCAAAGGCTGTCACAAATAGGTACATGTACTTCTAGCTTTGCTTCTTGGGATTCTTCTTTCTTATGCATCATATGCTAATTATCTCACCAGTCTGCCTGCAACATTTCATTTGGCATTTTTCCTTCTTCTTGCTTGTAAATTTACATCAGCGAAGAGACAGGATGAAATTATTAATGAAAATCTATCCACAGGTGCCTTTCCAAAGGAAGAGAGCAGGACTAGTGTATGAAACAGATCCTGCTTTCAGGTTTCCTTTTAATGCACTTCTGTTTAATTCTGAACCCCACTAATTTGCATAGTTAAGAGGATAAAGGCAGTAACAAACATCTCAGCTGGTTCTGAATTTCCCCCCACAGACAGAATTGTATATCTGCTCCTCCTTTCTCTGTGTGTTTCTCTCAGGAGACAGACAGCACAGTGTTCACTCACTGCTCCTGGTTCTATTTAGTTTCATCCTGAAAAGAGGATTCCCCAATGAGCTGAGACACAGTGGGTGGGATTTCTTTGAGCAAAAGTCTCCAGTGCCAAGATTTTGCAGAGAAACAGGGATTCCATCAGAAGCAGAGGAATGAGATGAAGTAGTGGTGAATATGGTGGTGCTGGTTAACATTTGGACTCTATGATCTTAGAGGTCTATGAATGTTAATGACTCTGTGATTTTGTGAATTGTGACCTAACAAGACCTATTTATCTGGGCTCATGTTTGTTCTGATGTGTTGCCCATCATGACCACTAAGCCCTGGAGGAAGGACTTAGTGAACGAGGAACCATGAATGAGATATCAGCAATGTCAGAAACAGTTGAGAGGGAACGAAGGAGGAATCATAAAATATCCTGAGTTGGAAAGGACACACAAGGATCATTGAATCCAACTCCTGGCCCTGCACAGAACAACCCCAACAGTCCCTCCATCTACCTGAGAGTGTTGTCCAAACATTCCTGGAACTCTGGTAGACTTGGGGAGTCTGTTCTAGTGTCCACTTCACTGGAGAGCCTGTTCTAGTACTTGGCCACCCCCAGGATGAAGAGGGCTTTCCTAACACCCAACCCGAAGGATGAGCTTTATTTCCCTCTAGGTGAATATGTACATGCCTGTCTTATCCTGCAGCTAGAGTAAACTAGTCTTAGTTGCTCAATAAAGGGAGGCATCACACAGCAGGAAGATGGATGTGGAAGATGGTTGTGAACAGAGGGGGATGTGCTCAACTCAAAGCTGATGGGCTGCTTGGGAAAAAAAGTGCACTTTTTTTCCACACTCAATTAGGAGGTACCTTCTCACCAGGCAATGACAACACATGGGACAACACCCAAACTCCAATAAACATCGGAATAGGGGTGGGTAGCTCTTAGGTGCTCACTGCTCTTCAGGTGTTGAAATGTGGGATCACCAGTCTGTCTACAGTGCTCTGCTTTTGAAAGCTCAGTGTATGAATGCTCAAAACAGGAAAAAATAAATTAATTTTTGGTCTGTCTCTTTTTTATTTATTTTTTTTTTTTTTAAATTTGGTCCTTAACCCAATATACAGACAGGCATTCATTGTCCAGTGCTTCAGAAGGTAGTTTCTCCAATTTTCTATTTGGAAGGTTATTATTTGCTTTCTGAACAAAAGATTCCCTTCAGGTTTTACCTGCTACCATTTGCTACTAATGACTATCCCAAAACTTTTCATCCAAAAAATGTTTTTTATTAAAGAGGTACATTCACTGAACTCCACCCTCTATAAAAAAAAATCAAGCAAGGGAAAAGAAAAACACACCTTTGAGAAACTGAAAATTTCAACTGCAAATTCAAGTGGGGTTATTTTTTTTTTAATTTTATATTCTCAGCCGAGTATTTCCACTTCTTATCCTATTTTTTTCCCTGATTATCAGCCATAGCACAATAAGGCTTTTACTTTTTTTTTCTGCTCAAAAAACCCCCACAATAATCTGATCGAATCTTGCGAGGAACCTATGGCTTCAAAACAACCCAACTCTAATATAATTTGCATGAGCCCTATATCACCCAAATGCTCCTGACAATTCAATGAACTTTGTCCTGCATTTCACCAGAATACTTATGAACCATATTGGGCACAGCAGAGCTGTTAATGAAACTGGAACTGTGAATAATTACAACACGCTCATCCTTGAAGATGCAGGCAGATGTGGGGAAGTGTACTCCATTTGTGTCATTGAAACACCATTGCAAATTACCTCTGCGCTAACTACGTTTAAATAGAAATACAGGGGAAAAAAAAAAAGATCTTCCTTGATAATGACAAGACAAAAATATCCATAAAAAGGAAATAAAGATGACATACTTCTTTTTCTGTGACATACATTTTTTACATGGCTTAGGGGCTTTGCTTCCTGAGAGTTTACGTCGTCAGCTGTCAGGGCCCTTCCATGCATGATTTATGTACGCATAATAAAGACATCGTGGTTGAGAAACTGATCTGTGATTTCAAACAGCTTTGAAACTAACAGCAATAAAATATATAGCACATGAATAATATAGGCTTTAGTTAAAAAAGATCAAGTTTTGAAAAATGGGAGGCATATTTATTTTCGATTGCTTCATCTGCTCTTCCCCCCAGCCCTGTCGAATTGAATGACAGCTTTTAAGAGAGGCAGACCAAGGATTTCAAATCTTTGGAATCTTCTAAGGGAGACAGGCCAAAGATTTCTAGTTCAGGGGCCAGACTCTGTATAGAGCATTGCATGTGTCTCCTTGCTCCCATTGCAGACCCCTGGGAGTGCAATAGGTAGTACAAACCCAGTGCAAGCCACCTCAGTTCAGGTTTAAAAGAGGACACACTGTGAAGGTGTTGGAGCCTGAATTTAAACCAGCTCTTCCTAAAATGCCACAAGGCTTCCCATACCATTTTTGCAGCAAGGCTCCTGTGCCACTAACACTGACTACTGTATTATTTTGCTGGACTGTCAAGAGGCCATCAGCAGAGATCGCTGCGGGCACACTCACACCAGGCAGTGATAAGCAGCACTGTGATGGCTCTCAAAGCCATCAGTGAGTCTTGCTAAAATACATCTCACACAGCACATTAACCTGTGCACTTTCCTGCCTTGCCCAGCCAAAAGGGCTCAGTCACAGACCTGGTTTTTCTGGTGCTGTTGTTGGTTGTTGGCAGTACAGGACAAATGTGCTTGGCAGAGAACACATCCCTACTCAAAATCTCTTTAACTGATGACTGGATGAAAAAAAATTTTTCATTTTATATGATAAAATCAAGACACAGAGATTCAGTAATTTGGGTGGAATGCTGTAGGAAATTTGTGCTAACCAGTTACTAATTCCTGCATTCTTGTCTATCCCCATGACATTATATGTTTTATAATGATAGAACTTTATCAGGTGTCTAGGGAAATTTTACTGGTGCTGTGTTGCAGTCACATTTCAAAATTTGTCTCTGTTCAGGTTAATGAAATGAAATGGAGGATTAGATCGTGCTTAATGACAACAAGAACATGACAAAGGTGCAAAACCCTTCAGGAGTTGTCTCCAAATCTACATTAAAGTTCTCATTTGGCTCTGTAAGTAGCGAAGGCGGACAGAGGTTCTTCATAGCCTCAGAACCTATTTTAATTATCCCTTCCCTGGGTAATTATTAACAGGGGAGGAGAGAACTGCCTGAAACTGTAAATGCTAATGGGTTCCCCTGAGACCATGAGTCCAGAACATCAAGGAATGATGGGTTAACGGCCTCTCCAACACGCTGCTGCTGGCTTGGAGGTGGGATGCTGCACTTGAGATGCTGCTGATATTCCTCGATGACTTGAGGACTAAATCACTTGTCTTTATAAAAGCAAAGCTCTTCTTGCACTGCAAGATTCAAGGGGAAAGGAAATTGTGTCACTAAGACTCGGGCTTTTGACACAGTTAAATGCTGTCAGAGCAGATAAGGAAGGGAAGGTAGAAATGGGATCTGAAAGATGTGGGAGCTGTGTCTTCACCACTGGTTAGGGTGTTGCTTTTTAATAACAGCTCTGCAACTGATTTGTGAAATAAAGGTGGCTTCACAACAAACCAGAGAAGGGAAACCTGTTCATACTTGTGCCATGTCAAGGGCATGACAAAGCTTCTTAAAAAAAATAAGAGCCCTTGTGGGACTAAATGTGAATCCGTGCCTCCAAAAAGTCAGGTCCTGAGATGTTATCTCAGGTCTAACACATCAGGTATTTGTTAGATCATTAACTAAGAATATTATTCAAAATCACTCAGCTCCCTGTTAGGTGTTCCAGGTGTCAGATGAAAAGCACCTTTGAATGGGTTGTGATGAGCAGGCACTGATCTTAAAAAATAATGATTTTACTATTTTATTTCTTTCAGAAACCTTTCTAAACCAGTTCTGTTTTGCTTGGAAGGAATTTAGCGCGTAAGTGCCAGGGCAGATGATAGAGACAGAGGAAGTGATTCTCCCACTTTCTCAGGTGTTTCCCCTGAGGTCCTCTGTCCAGCAGAAAACAGTCTGAGGAAAAGCCCCTGAGTGGCTTGGAGGTGGCATTAGAACATGAGAACATTATAACCAGTTTGATCTGAAAGTAACTTAAAAATGGGGTTGTTCTTCCCAAGTTTTATGCATTGAGTTCACAAGACCTTTTTTTCAACCTGTCCCAACTCACCACTTAAACTGAGAGCTGGCTATTGTTCATCCCAGCTCACACCCCACCCCTGAGCCACCTGGTGAGGTTGGAGGACCTTCTGAAGAACCTCATGAAACCAGGGCCAGAGCAAAGGGCAGTATTTGGGAGCCAGATCCCTGGCTACCCCACAGGAAAATCGGGTCATTCAAAGGTACACAGAAACAGAGGAGTTGATATCGATTGGTGTGTAGGCATGTTTATCACCACATGGGCCACATCTTCTTCTCCTCTGCATTTTACACAGGGAGCATGGTTTAGATTCTCCCACATGATCAAGCTCATGGGGTTATCCCTAAAACATGGTTATTTCTGGAGAGACAATTGACAGAAGGCTTCCACAGGCTGCCTGGAGGAGGACTGAAAAGGCCAAATGCTCTTAGAGGTTTGTGAGCAAGCGAAACCTGGTGCATTTTCTAGAACCTGTCTATATATGGCTCTTTGGAGGTCAGTACAGAGAGAAAACAAACTAGCTCCAGATTCGTTATCAATTATCTCACCTCATTAGTGCTCTGGGGTTAATGAATCTGCATTTATCACCATAGTCCCCTGGATGTTGGGCTTTGGGGTCCCAAAGCTGATGTACTGGCATGGTGGAGACATGACCCTGGTGGTGAATGGGGTAAAAAACTCGAGGGTCTCTTCCAGCTCAGGATATTATGTGATTGTGTGAACTGCTGGAAAGCAGCAGAGGAGAGCCTGTGCTTGCACAGACAGGAGAGGAGAGGGAGGGGTGGCAGTGCTGGGGACTCATGCTCAGGGTTGGACCATGCCCCTCCAAGTCACACCAGACTGATTTAAGTCCTGCTGTCTCTCCTGTGCTCCTGCTCCCCATATCAAAGGCACAACGCTGCTGCTTTCTCCCCCTCTGTCCTCTGCAGCTGTCACCACCTCGTGCCAATAGTCCAGCATTAGGAGTGTTTTGAGCTAAAAAGCCCTGCTCGGATGATCATGCTTATCTCAGCTGAAAGGTTTCAAAGCCCAGCTTAGCCAAAATATGTGATACACACCACGAGTCCAATCATCCCCCTCATAGTAATCTATGAAGAGCTGTTTTTTTCAAACCAAGCTTTTCCATTATAATTTTCTTCCATTCTTGTTTCAGCTCACTAAACATTAACCACCATGACCTACTGCATAAACCCAAACCATATTAAACAGATTAGGTTTATAGCCAAATCCTAACACCCTATTTGGGGAATGGCTACAATGCTTGGCTGTTTCTACAGTTCTGTGGGTTGGGGTTTTTTTTGGACAAAGTTAAATCTTTACTTGACTAAAAAATTTTGGATGTGTTTAACACCACACTGCTAAAGCAAAACACATAGACAGAATCAATCCATTTGTTTAAGAACAGTGCTGAAAATTAAACCAAACATAAACCTCAAACCTAACTACAACATATATCCAAAACCTGTAAAAAGAATTGGCGAGTTTTTATGAACTAGCTTGTCTTTATGTGTATTTATATTTTATTGTCATGGGTTGTATTTATGTCAGAATATAGGAAATGGCCTCTACCTTTCAATTTACATTGTGGCGCGGCATAATCACATGCTTTCCCATGGATAAGAACCCACTGCTCCTAACAGAGCTGCCAGCAAGCTGATGTAGAAAAGAACATTGCTGAACATCACAGTTTCAGTTTTCAAAGGAAGAGGCAATGGAAGGTGACAGGTGGGGGGGAAAGCCCCACAGGATGATACCAACTGACAAAAGGACAAGTAACAGGTCCAAAAATTCAGATAAATCATCATCAACTAGGGGCATTCTAAGCAGTGTCTCCACAGAATCAGACCTATGCTTGGGGCTACTGGATATTTTCATCAGTAATCCAGGATTAGATGTAAAGTCACTGCTGCTGGAATTTGCAGCTGATGAAGACTGGTAGAAGTATAAATAACTGCAGGGTCCATGTAAGCGAGATCACTGGTGAAGCTCTGATTATTTGGGCAAAACACGTTTTAACACAGCCAACAGCAATGCAGTCCGTGCAAGAACAAAGAATGTATATTTTGTTCCTATCACACAGTTATGAGACTTCATATGTAGGAAAGGAACAACCCTTGGGCAGGCAAGGAATGTGAGGGATGTTCATACAGGCCAGGTTATGATGGGTGAGCAACTCAGCCCGAGCTCCACCTCATGCTGAGACTCTCAGCATTCTTAATTTTTCCAGGACACATTAGGATCCCTGAATGGAGAGAGATGATGCTGTGATGTCAGAAGGGAGATCCCAGCAGAGGTGGCTGACCCTGGCTGGAGGGGTACCTTCCAGCCCCCCACTACCAACAGTAGTGCTGTGTTGTGTGAAACCTGTTGTGCCCTGGACAAAAATCCGGGAAATAAGAATGAGGGAGCTCAAGCCAAATAAACTGTGCCTTCACAGCAATACATGTGAAAGTATTTTAATTAAAATCTTGACTAAACGATACAGTCGGTGAACAAGGAATGTGATATAAATACGACATGATTAATTCCTGAATGAGTGAATGATACTGCTTAAAGATACAAATTATGTGCGCGAAGAATTGAGGTATCTGCTGTAGGTAATACTAAAGGAGCCTAGCCTGTTTGGAACTAAGTTTTACCCGTGATCCAGAGACCAAACTCTCAGCAAAGATCTTGTAGCAGGGAGGAACTTCTGTCTGACCATGAGTTCAGGGCAGCAGGTCTTCACTATGACCTGAACTTTAATTTAGATCTAGACAAGGCAAGCAAGTCTACCAACCTCACTGGTTATTTCACTCTGTGTGCCTATGCAAGACCTTGATTAATTACATGTTTCTGACACATCCCACTTCTGACTTCTCTCCACCTGTTTTTCCTTTACTGGCTTTAGTCAACCAAACCTACTCGAAAGCACAGCCCACACTACTACAGAATAAATGCTCCAATGGCTATTAGTCTGCAGAGCCAAGATGCATCTAAATCTATAGGTATTTATGTGTGCAAAAAATCAGGGTGAGTGAAATGGTTATGCATCCTGGTTTGTTTTCTATTAATAATGCAAATTGAAAAAAAAAAAAAAGGATTAAAACCCAAAGAAATGTCAGAAAAGCTCCAGACAAGAACAGCAGAAAATTCCTGAGAATAGGGAAAAGAGACCTTTCAAACTCATGCTGCCTACTTGGACAAGGAGAAGATGGAGAGGTAATTTGACTACTGGGGAAATATTTGTATGAGGAGAAGAACACTTTTGGAAAAGGGCTCTTTCATCAGACAGGAAGGGACCAGTGTGATTTAGAGTGAGCAAGATCAAAAGCCAGAACAAACTGCTAAGGAAAGCAGCATGTTCTCTGTTTCATCCTTCCTGGAAATCAAAGTTGGATGTGTCTCTGGAAGAGAATTTTCACTGGACATCAATTACTGGAATCAATCTTGGGAGCAGTTGGGTGAAATTTAGTAACCTGTGACATAGGTGATCTAGGCAAGATGATCCTTTGGCCTTAAAATCCACACATCCTGGGAATGACGAAGAGCAGAGCCCTATATAGCAATGGAAACAGATCCAGAGTGTAAATGCTACAGGGGCAGAGGAATGATGTCCAAAAGCTATGATGAGGAGTGCCATATCATTCACTTTTTACACCTAAATGTCAGCTGGATGTTAAGTGAATGTTTTGGGACCATGAGGGTGACATAAAGCCTGTGTACATAGGGCAGATGCACATAAGCCTTACTTCATTACCAGGATCCTTTGATGATCTCTCCTTTCCATACTTGGAGCTCTGGAGAAGGAATGTGCTCTGTCCAAAGAGGAATTAAGCAAGGACAAGGTGCTGTGCAGTTACTTTGCAGCACTGGTAATTCTCTTTTAGCTCAGTTTGTGGCTTGCTGTATTTTTGTCAGTCAAGTTATGGTATTTCATGAGTGGAACTACCTATTTTATCAAGCCTTCTCTCAGCTCGTGGTTTACTGCAAATATTGTTGGTTTACAACATGTTTTATTGCTGAATTTTCTGCTGGGCTGTTACTTGATTTCAGTAATGAATTCCAGCCTGCTTATTTATTTAGTTAGTTACTTATTTTTAGGAGTTTCACAAGAATTATGTGTCACAGAGAGGTATCTTGGCTAATTCAAAGAAGCAAATTGCAAGAGCAGGAAACCTCAGCATGTGAATCAAATTTCGTAAGAGACACACAAAGTGCCGTGTGTTCTCATCATGGTGGAGGTCTGTACCGAGAAAAAGAACTGCAGGCAGTGCCATCCCATCCCATGGAGACCGCAGCAGGTCAACTGGCTGGGCTGACAGCTGAAGCTTCAAGATATTAGTCACAGAATCCTACAACGATTTGGGCTGGAAGGGACCTTAAATCAACCCCTTGCTGTGGGGGAGAGGTGCTCCATCACTCCGATCAGCTTTGTGGCCTCCTCTGGACTTCTGGGCTTGTTCCAACAGCTCCACGTCCTTCTGCTGTTGTTTCCCAGAGCTGGAGGCAGCTCTGCAGGTGGGGTCTCACCTGAGTGGGCAGAGGGGCAGAATCCCCCTCTCCCCTGCTGCCCACACTGTGGGATCAGCCCAGGGCACGGGGGGTTTCTGGGCTGTCACTGCACTTTGCCAGGTCATGATGAGCTTCTTGTCCATCAGCATCCCACCCCAGGTCTAGTCTCAATCTATTCTCCACCCAGCCTGTATTTGTTCTTGATTATTAATAAATAATTTTCATTTGTGAACAAAAGGAGTCCTCTATAAGGAAGGTGAACAATACTGTTCTAGGAAGCTGAGGCACACAGCAAGGTGAGTTGCTATTCCTGTGGTCTCTTACTAGACTAGCGGCAGTCACAGTCAAACAGGGCAAACTTCCTTGAGAAAAGATGAAGTCCCACCCAATCCCTTGCAAAAAAAGCCTCATTTGTCCCAAAGCAGGGAAATCCTTCCTTGTCTGCAGCTGACTGGGAGGATCACACATACCTGAAACGAATGATGCAACCACTAAACACAAGATGCTTGACCCTCTCTTTAAATTATATCCAAAAGGCTTTTTTGATCCCAGATCTTGATCTGGAAACTAAATTTTGAGGTGCAACCTGTCAAACTTGTCAGTAATCAGGAAAGGGAGATGTCCTGCCAGCCTAGTAGACAAATTTTTAGAAAAACATGTCTTTCTTTGAATATTTAATGAATCTTATTCTT